GGCTAGGGTGCTGGTTCCTTCCCCAACCCCCCCCCCCCCCCAAGTTTCAAAAATACTGACCCAGGGGGTCCAATTCTATGGTCTCTAGAAGGAGATGCCCCCATCCTTCATTGTTTCCTATGGAAGGGAAAAAATGTTGTGAGTTGAAGCTAAAATGCTCTGAGCATGCCTCTGAAATGTTGTGCACCAGCGCCCCCTAGTGCAGCTTAGAGGGAACTGTAGTTATGGCACCAAGTCAAGAAGTCTTTAATTAAAAATAGTTGACAGTGAAATAGGCTTTGTCAGGCCCCCATCTAATCTAAGTAAGCACTCTGGACCAGCTTTGCAAAAAAGTCAGTAAATATTACTGGCCTACCAATATTTGTATTTATTCATTTGTATTTCAGAAGCATGTAAGAAAAATCATCAACTCTTCCATGTTTTTCAAAAAGTTCCCTGCCTGGTTGGCTGGAGATAAGAGTATTTTCTTTCAACAAGCTTTTGGGCAAATGGCTTTTTATGAAACAGCTGTATAATAATTCTGATATAAAGTTACAACTCATATTTAACAATTAACGTGTTGGCAAACCATAGTGAATGTACTGTATCAGTGTAACTGACACTGTTGTAACTTCAGATGTTAACTAATTACATTCTTTAATATTTTTAGAATACATTTTACTCGGCAGGAAAAAATTACTTGCTCAGAATGTGCAATGGTGAGTAACCTTTGTTTTAAAAAAATGAACGCAATTGCAGAGCTTCCAGTGCTATTCATCAAAATCTAACCTATTTTTCTAACGATATCTCAACAAGTTCCTGTAATATGATTCAGTATTAAAAAGCTGTTTCATTTAGATGGTATATGTGGTGTTTACTGTTGACTATGAACTGCAATTTGAACTACAGTTTGCTTTAAACAGTGTTTTATTTCTTATCTTTTTGAAGAAGCGTATTTATGAATTTTGTGCATGTTTGAAGCTCATGTACTTAGGCAACTAGAAAAGCAGAGAGCAGTCAGTCAATGTCCTTTGGGATGTGTTTACCACCTTTTCATTGTCAACAGCAGTCGGTGTCCTGCTTGCATCACAGTCCATTCCCAGATCCTCCTTCCTATTGCAGGTTTCGATATATTCTGACAATCCACTCTTGAGAGGATCAAGTTGGGGACTCTGTGGAGTTGCACGGGTTGTGGGACAAGTGGGGCTTACAGTTTGAAGGGGAAATCAGTGGCCTTCTCTCCTTTGCATAAGTGTAAGTGCACAAGAAATTTGTATATGGAGGATTCTAGGCATAATCAGAAGGTAACTAACATTTTCTCCTGTTGTTTAGACCTCTTACGAAGGTTATCTAAATCACAAAATACAGTGTTCTGTGGAAGAATTCAGCTATTCCTGGCTAGATTATTCCCCCTTTCAGAAAAGTCAGGTGAGATTTGTTCCTTTATGATGTCAGAAACAACATAATGGATGAGTTGAAGTAGAGTTTGTCCCATGCAAAAATAGCCCAAGGCTATTATGATTTTCAAACAGTTATACTTATTTTAGATTTGCAACCTTCCATATTTGTTACAGATAATATTAGACTCAATTTCCTGTCATTGTAATTAAATTTCACTGTAATTGTTTCTAATTAGCTTTCAGGAAAGATTGCTTCATATGTGTGTAAATTGGCATGTTTCTTGCAGTTTCTCACAAATTCTTCGTTTTGGGTTTGTTTTTTGTTTGTTTGTTTTTTAACATGCATCTTCTTCCCTGCAGGGCTCAACTTGCAAAGTCAGTTTAACCTGGAAAATATCACCGTTTTTAATACCAATGAGCAAGAGAGCATGCTAGGACAGAAGGTTAATCTTCTTTTTAACTTATATAAAGAGGAACTAATTTTGTGACTAACCTGTAAAAGTGGGGATATAAGAATGACACACTGCCTTCCGGGTACTGAATTAAATATGGTGCAGCATTTCCCAAAAGAGGGGAAATAGTTTTTAAAACATTGTTTTTTAGGTCTTGTTCCACACTCCAGGGCAGAAGATCATCACATATTTAAGCACTGTTCCTGAACAAAAATGCTTTTCTGAACTCGAGCCTTACAAAAGGGAATAGTCAGGTCTTTGGTTTGTCCCATGCAATAGTTAAGGGAATAGTCAGGTCTTTGGTTTGGGCTCTGTGTTCACTTCCCTGCAATTCAGATTGCAAAAAAAATTAACTGTAATCTCTATCCCCTGGTCATACTAGTAATAACATAAAGCCTTTTGCAGTATTTTTAATATGCGGGGAAAGTTTTAGGTCTATAAATGTGTGTTTCCTTCAGCATGTGGAAGAACGGGATGAAGGAATGGAAGTAGAAGAAGGTGAAATGGGAGATGATGAAGCTCCTACGAGTTGGTAAGTGTAGACAAAGCTCAAACTTTTCATCAGTTTTAAAATGGAAAGAATATTAGAAATACTCACGCTTCGTATGGTTGGCTACAAGTGTTTGCTGTTCATTGTTTTTTAATAACATAATTTAAGGACTTATCTTTTATCAGTGCTTACATTGTAAGGTAAAAATCCTATGCAGAGTCTTAATTGGCTCTATACAGTCTGCTTTAGGCACAGCACCAAAGTGCAAAGCGATCTTCATGGGACTTAACAGAGTCCTGTTTCTCCTTCCCTCCCACCCTGCCAGATGTGTGTGGGCACTCAGTGTGAGTGTCCTTCCTTGCCAAGTAGAATGGGAGAGGGCTGGAAAAATGGGTATTGGTGGTGTACAGGCAGCTTCCATTCTTAACAGCCTGTCAACATGCTTGTGCATGTGCCATGAATCGAGGAGGGCTGTGTTGTGCTTCAACTGTGTGATTGGTGGCTCGATGGAAGAACCTGCCATTTTTGACTTATTTAACAGTAGTACTGTTAAACCTACAGTATGGTTGAGTACCTGTACTTGACTATAGCAAAGGATTTTCTACATCAGAGCAAAAGTAATTATGAAGACAGTTTTGAGCCTTTGATTAAAAAAACTTAATTGGAGGAAAATATTTTCATTTTGATTTTTCCATTTATGAGTTCATCTTTGTCTCAACAATTGCAAGAAGTATATGGGTGTGTGTATGAGTTTGTAGTTTCAAAATTTGTTTGTTTTTCCCCAGCTCTATCCCTATAGATTACAACCTGTACAGAAAGTTCTGGTCACTTCAAGACTACTTTAGAAATCCTGTACAATGCTATGAAAAGGTCTCATGGAAAACATTTCTAAAGGTAATGACTGTTGTGTGGATTTTTCTCCCTTCATCTTATGTGCAGTCATTCTGTTTTACAGAGTTTGTCCTACTCTAGGCAGAAAGGCAGTTTTAGAAGCTGATGCTACGTAACGTGATATTGTTGCCCAGTAATAGTGATGACATAGCAAATGCTCAACGGACAGGTGTAGCCAGGAGTTATTACAGTGCTTGGTTCCTAGCAGTGTAGATCCAAAAACAAAAGCTATGCATTGCTTTTTCAATAAGTCTACCCAAAATGACACCAGGTGGTATGCAAGGTTTCAGGTTCTTCAGAATTCTCTGTTGGGCTGGATTAAAAAAAAAGTAAGGGAAGAGAAGAAGCAAAAGATGTTCTCTAAGTAAGAGGAGGTTGTAGGTAGCACATTGTTTTTGTGCTTTGCTCATAGTACTCATAGTACTGTCATAGTACTGTCCTGTCGCCCCACCCCAAACAGCGCAAAATCTTTCACACTGTTTTGGGATATTGTGTTTTGTCTTAATAAAACGTATTACATGGCTTTCTGATTTTAGATTTTGCTTTGAGATTATGCAGCTACCTGAGCCCTCTAGGAATGTATGTGTATGGTATGATGATTAGCAATTGTACTTTCCTTCTTAGTCTTACTTGAGAGGCCCATTGTCATTCATAACTGACCATAAGTCACTTAAGATGCATTGGGGAGATTTTAGCCGGGACTTGTAAGGAAGCGTATGAGGCAATTTTATGTTAATCTTGAAAGCATAGTATGCTGTTACTGTAGGAGAATATCTTGGCATAGTACTGTTTTTGTCCTTAGCTATTTAGGTGTTGCTGTCAGTGGTCTCTCATCTTAGTTTCCTATCCTATCTACATCTGCTTAGTTTCAGTGACCCTGCAGCATCAGAATAAATCAGGAGGCTGGTACTGTTTAAAGACTAACAACATTTATTCCAGCTTTTGTGAGTCAGAGCTCATTCCATCAGATGTGCTGGAGTATAAATTGATCCGGCCAGTTTATATGCAAATAAGAATGGGGGTGGATGGAATGTTACAAATATTACAAAAAGAGGCCAGATCAAGAAGAGTAACTGGAAAAGGAGCGGAAGGAGTAAGACTCTTATCTGTTGCAAATCTGATCAGATTTCAAATAAAGCTGCTTTGTGGCTGCAATTTTGTTTGGAGATTTACTACAGTATTTATGTGTAAAGAATAGCATCTCTCTGTCATTTTTTTTAAAGTACTCTGAAGAAGTATTAGCTGTCTTTAAGAGCTACAAGTTGGATGACACTCAGGCTTCAAGGAAGAAATTGGAGGAACTGAAAACTGGAGGAGAGCACGTTTACTTTGCAAAGTTTCTCACGAGTGAGAAGGTACTGTGTGGCCGGTTCTAAAATAAATGCTTGTATGAAAAAATAAAGATTTTCTTGCAGATACACCACTGACCTTTAGTCACACAGTGAAGATCCTTGTGCTGTGGGGACAGCTGCTGCCAAAACAATCAATAAAAAAATCTGTAAAGCCGGTCAGAGCTCCAGTGGCTGATTGGAGTCCCTGCTAGGCAGAAGCCCCAGCGGCCCCACCCGTTTTCTAAAACCATGGGCAGGCATGGGAAAGGTGTTGATGGGCACTCGGATACCCACAGGTCCCGTGTTGGGGGACCCCAGTTCTGTGTTCTAGAACTGCTGCTGAATACAATGGCAGACGACGTGTTCCTTTTTTTCCCTTCCAGTTAATGGATTTACAACTGAGTGACAGCAACTTCCGCCGTCACATCTTACTGCAATATTTAATACTATTTCAGTATTTAAAGGGACAGGTGAAATTTAAAAGGTAAGGTAGAAAGTACTGATTTAAAAAATGATTTATTTTTAAAAATGATTTCTTATACTGAGAAAAATGTATTTCCTTTAGCCGGAATTTCATTAAACTGAATCCGGATCCAGTGCTTGTATGAATCCACCCACTTGCTCTGTCCATATGGCTCTGTTGCCCCAGTGCAGTCTGTTGGAAAGAGGTAGTGATTAGCGAATTGTACCCAGATGGGTTACAGAACCCTGTACTCGTATATGAAAGGGAAGTACAGTACCTGGAAGCAACCTCATAAGGCAATACTGATGTTTTTCATACAACAAATGAGAACAGGAAGTGTGTTTGATGCATGATTCTCTGGATCATGATAATATAATCAAACTTGTTCCATATGTACAAATTAAAATAGCAGGGGAAGCAACCATGTAAATGTATTAGCAACAATTATAACTGAAAGCTAACCCAATGCTGCTTCATTCTGGCTTCTTTAGTAGTAGGTGATACTAAATTTGTGTATTAATGGGTCAGATTTAGCAGTTCTTTTCTGCTGGATTTCTGTACAGCCTTGGAATCAACACACAGTTGTCTCTGAATACCTTTCTTTCTCTTTTTGAAGATTAACATGTTATTTGGAATTAATTCTCACTTATTCACGTTAAAATTAGTTAAACTTAGTCCAGATAAGTGCCTGTAGTATTGAAGTGCTGTTTAAGCTAGTTTTCAACTTCATTCTTTAGTGAAAAGTGATTACATTCCTACATCAGAATATGTAGACCGTGTCCATCTAACTGGAAAAGCAGTTTTGTTAGATAACTGTATTCATTTTGCAAGAAGAAACAGTACAATATTTAAGACAGCTTTGTGGACAAAACCTCCTGTAGTGTAAGCAGACGGTCTCTATTGTGACAAACAGAGTTACCGATCTTTTCAGAATTTCCCTGTTCTTCTCATTCTATCTTTGAAAGTGAGCATTTGTGTTGCACTTGTATCTGTGCTCATTTTTCAATACCCTGGACACAGTTGTGGAGAGATGACCCCGTGACCCGCAGCCAGGACAAAGAGGTGCCTGCTGGCATTGGACAAGAAGTCAGGCCTGATGTCCGCAAGAGACAGGTCTTGGCACCTAAACAGTGGCTTAAGAAGGCCAGCCCAGCCTGATGGGGAAGGTGTGCCAGACTATCAGCTGGTTAGGATGAGTTTGCTTGGGGCATGCCTAATGCCCTAGGTTAGAGAGAGACCTACAGGGGTCTGGGTGAGGGAGAGGATCAGACCAGCCATGCCAGAGCAAGCATGCAAGCTTGAACAGGCTTTAAAGGAGGTGGTGCAGCAGAGCCTTGGACTGAATTAGGTGGGGAAGAGGCAAGTGATACAGTTGGGCCTATGCCCGATACAAAGGGTGCTTTTTAAGAGTGCTACCTACAGCAGCAGGAAGAGTAAACAACCAAAGCTGGAACTGTTACTTTGTGCGTCTCATGAGTCCCTGAGCATTTGCATGGTCTTATGGAGTAGTGGCCCCTGCCCACCTTCCTCCAGTCCACAGTTACAGTGATGCATTCAAAATCTGGATGTGTTCACTGTCCTGTTGAAATAAAAGCAACCTGAAAGTGTTAACTGGATTTTTGCAGTCTTTCAAATAGTTGCTTTGTAGCCATGCAAAACACTTCATGTAATTAATTACATTCATAGATTGTGTCTCACTATATTTTTCTTGGTGTCTTGCTCCCTAGCTCAAACTATGTTCTAACTGATGAGCAGTCCCTCTGGATTGAAGATACTACAAAGTTAGTCTACCAGGTTAGTGCTGTAGACTGCAAATTGTATATTTTCAGGTTGTGCATTGTACTTTCACAAACACCTCCACTATGGCATTTGTTCTTGCTGCGGTCTGTTTTTTTGAGAGTCTGTGTGGCTTTGTTTTTCAAAGAATCGAGTTAAGACTGAGAAGCAGGAGGAATATGTATTTATGAGCTGTGATCTAATTTGTTTTATAACTGTTTCCAGTATTTTGCTGCAGCAGTTGACATCTAATTATCTCGCCTCTTTCTAATAACAGCTTCTTTCAGAAAATCCCCCAGATGGAGAGAGATTCTCAAAAATGGTAGAGGTGAGTGGCCTCTATAAATTGAATGATATACTTTAGTTGGGCACCATCAACTAACTGGCTTAGTTGTAGAAAAACAACGTGGCATTATACCAATTTGTTCCCTGCTTATGTCTTTATGTAGTCTCATGGGTGCTGCAAATTTATTTGTTTGTATGGGTACCCTTTCCCATGTTGTTAAAATGGCTTTTATGTCCCTTGCATCACTGTAAGAAAGTTGCATACATACCTAACATAAAAAGATGGCCCACAACAACCAGATATATTTATTTCTTTTTTATTTATACCCTGCTGTTTTCCACAATGGCAATCCAAGGAAGCACATACCATCTACCACGAAGTGTGACAAGCTCAGGGTCACCCAGTAAATTTCCCTGGCAGAGTGAGGATTTGAACCCAGTTATCCCAGGTTCTGGTCTGTCACTCTAATCACTACGCCAGACCAGCTCTGAGAGATGAACACTAAAATTATACTTTCTGCTCTGACTTTTGTCCTGGGCTCATGTTATATTTGTTTTGTGACTCTTTAATCTCTGCAGTAATGTTGAAGGTGACAGCAACTCATATTGAGAGTTTTATGGTTTTCTTTTTTACAGCACATATTAAACACAGAAGAAAATTGGAATTCATGGAAAAATGAAGGTTGCCCGAGTTTTGTTAAGGAAAGGTATAAAATGTTAGATTTGGATTGTATTCCTAATACTACGTGCATGTTTCTGTAAAACTTGAATATTGTATTTAAGAAATTTTAAATTCTTTTGTATTTAAATCCTTTTGTAACCAGTTAGGTGCAGGGGATGTCTTCCTTCCTGAGTATATGTTCCTATGTAGATCCTTGTTTATATTATTGCCTCTTGAAAAAATGCTCTTAAGCTGGCAAGAAGGAAATAAAATAGCCCTGATTTGGTGTAAAGAGTTACAAAAGAAGTATCCAGAGTTTAATTTTCATGTTGATGTAATCATAGACAGCAACAGTGATTAATCAAAGGTCATCAAAAGTCATTGGTTTAACCATCAATAAACAAAATCTAATTCTACTCATAGTGGATGGAGGAGGGGAGAGGTGGCCTAAAAACGGAATGTGCCTCTTATTATCAGTTCGCAGCAGCTTTGCAAATAGATGGTAGAGAGTGTGTGATTTCCTGCTGCCCTGGTGCTAGGGGAGAGATATGAAGGTTCGAAACTTTGTAGCTGATGTCCTTTAGTGTGTATCTTTACCCTTTTCCAGATGTAGATACATAGACTATGCCCCTGCCATTCAAACTTGGTTTGTTGAATCAGGTTTGCAGGTATCCTCCACCTTGAAGGGAACCTAATAGAAGAAGTTTGTACTTTAGTGTCCTGTGAACCAAAATCATTGTTTGAACCCAGGTGAAAGATCAGAGTTTGGGTCCAGTGGCACCTTTAAGACCAACAAAGCACTTTTTCAGATACATTGAAACAAGACTTCCTCAGTGTTTTGATGTATCTGAAAAAGTGTGCAGGAACACAAAAGCTTATACCCAGAATTAAACTTCGTTGGTCTTAAAGGTGCCACTGGACTCAAACTTCGTTCTGTTGCTTCATACCAACGTAGCTGCCCACCTGAATCCAGCTAAAAGATGTCAGTCATCCCAGGGGAGAATGACTTGACTGAGTCACTCTGCATCAGATGCACTTTGTATTGTTCTCTCATTTCCTATCTCTCATAGGCAGAAACACACATGAAGAGATGCATGTAATCTATGCAGCTTTAGAAGACTTCAGCTAAAAACCTAACTTGTTTTTTATTTGAGCACTCTGATTCTGTTTTTATCCTACTTTTTGGCCAGTGTTTTTATGCTTTTAATGTTGCCTTCCATTTTATTACCCATATTACCCTTTTTCCATCTTGGGAGTTCAGGGAGGCATTTTAGCATCTCAAGAAATGTGTGAGAGGGGTTCTTGCCCATGCTAACGCAAAAAGTTTCCCTAATAGAGTAGGGTGTACATATGCAAGCTTGCACAATGCGGACTAATATCTTTTTCTTTAGACCAGGTGATTCCAAACCAATAAGACCTTTTGTGCGAAAGAGACCAGCTCCTGAAGACTTTCTGGGGAAAGGACCTAACAAAAAAATTCTCATGGGAAAGTATGTCAAGTCTATAATTTTCTTCATTCGTGTACTTGTCATTTGTATAAATAACTTAGTGATGATAACAGTGATATTACAAAGCTAGGGAAAATAATTAATATTGTAATTATACATAGTATAGTATACTATACTACAGTATACGTAGTATATAGTATAGTATAGTACATGTAGACTGTAGTAGATATTACAGTATTGTAGTACTCTATACTATACTCTATACATACTGTACATAATTTTTTTTATCCTTGAGTATGTCTCCTGTTAATCTTACTGATTTCTTTTAAATTTGGGGTTCCTGCTTATTGAACCATCTTTTAAGCAAATTCAGAAATAAGAAAATAGTGTGATTTGAAAAGTTTCTTTCTCCCCAGGAATTGATAGAGGGTAAAATCTGATATTTCTACAAGGGAAATTTTGATCAGAAATATTTGGCATCATTAGTAAATAAGCACAGTTGATCTTAAAGAATGATAAAGAAAAGATCAGAGGCAATGCAGTGTCTTTTGTTAAGCTGACATCTGCACGTGAAAGAGAAGCCAAGCTTTTGTGAATGGTGGAAATGGTTATTTATTAATGCTACTAGTTAACATCAAGTAAACAGAGGACTACTTGAAAATATTTGGTTCATCACAACATATTTTCTGTGATGTATTTTGTATTTCTTCTTATAGTGAAGAGTTAACACGGCTCTGGAATTTATGCCCTGATAACATGGAAGCTTGTAAATCTGAGAATCGGTAAGTAAAAAAGCTGTAGTAATGTCAGTGATTAACTTTACAGTTGTGTTAATAATGCATAATAATGCACAATATGGCAAGAGTGGAGTATTTTTTATTTTGTCAAATTCTAGTATGCGCATCATTGACAGTCTACGAGCATATAATTAATTTGTAGGACAGCTATGTAAAAGATTTATAAGGAACATAATTCATGAATGTAGAAATAGGGAGAAAGATCACTGAAAGCAGATAATCAGATTACTTCACAAGGTAGCCTACAAGTATTAGTAAGCTGTTTCACTGAGAGCATCAATTAGGTATTTCTGAAATAGAGCTTCAAGTACTGATTTAACTGGAATAATGTTAGTAATTTTTAATATTCTAATTAATACACACTAGGGATGGGCCAGAAAAATGGTGGTCCGTGGGGTTCATAGACCCCCGGACCATGAAAAGCTGCACAGCACGTGAGTGAATGCTGAGCTTGTCACTCAGCCTTCACTTGTGTGCAGCTTGGCCTCTTTGTAAAAGCCATTTACATTTTAAACGGCTTTTGCAAAGCTGGGTGGTGTGCAAGTGAAGGCCAAGCAGTGAGTTCACCCACCTGGAAGTTGGTGAAGTCACCACTCAGCCTTCGCTTGCACTCCACGGGGCTTTTGCAGGCCTCACCCACACATGGACCTAAAGACCTCCTGGAATGGTCCTCGGAGGTCCATGTTGGCAGGTGCATGAACCGGGCTCATGGATCACAAACTGGGCCCCTATTCTTGGAAAAATTAGATCTGTGGTCTGTGCTCATCCCTAGTACGCACCAAGTGTCATTCAGATTATAATGATTGTCATGTTACATTGCATTAAAATAAGCATTACTTTGTTTAACCATTTGGTCAACCAAAGTGGAATTCTTTACTTTATCTGTGAATTAATTGACTGAAACCTATCGAAAAGTGGTCCCCCTCCCCTGTTATTCATGAATGGGCACTACAGAATTTAAACTAAAATTTGGAAGCATGGAAACAAGGATGGTAACAAGATCAATTTTATTTTATTTTATAGGGAATATATGCCAACATTGGAAGAGTTCTTTGAAGAAGCTATTGAACAGGCAGTTCCTGAAAACATGGTTGAGAATGAATTTAAGTATGTATGGAATCATTTTCTCCTGCCCTTTCATTAATACCTGCCCTTTGTTACTCATACATATGAAGATGTATTCCAAACCAGCTAGGGAAATGTAGCTATCTGGAGCAACAACTGCCTTTTCTGCAAGTACCAAATAGGGTTACTGATTCTGATTATCATTACAGGGCAGTGAATAATTCTAACTATGGCTGGAGGGCATTAAGGCTGTTGGCACGCAGAAGTCCTCACTTTTTTCAGCCAACCAACCAGCAATTTAAGAGTTTGCCAGAATACCTTGAAAACATGGTCATCAAATTAGCTAAAGAACTACCTGTAAGTAGTATGTGATGCTTTTTTGTTTGCCTCATTATCATTCCTTTTATTGAGGACAGGCAGCAGTAAAATGTAGTGTTGGAATATGTTGAACCTGAATGTCTCACTATCTGTATAACATAACTAGGTGTCCTTTTTGTTTAAAGTCTTGTATCATTTCTTGGGGGAAAGTGTAGGTAAGCTTGTCTGGGGGAGGCTCCACTAAGAGAGGGATTAATGTTTGCAAATGACAGTTCAGTGCATCTGTTCTGCTTGGAGATATTTCAGAAGTTTCCAAACAAGTCTAGCAGCACCTTAAAGACTAATAGCATTTACTCCAGCATAAACGTTTGAGAGTCCTTCAGTCGACACAAATCGCAAAACTACAAGTTACAGACAAAATAAGAAAACTCAAACAAAAAAGAGTCAACCATAATAACCAATATACAGATACAAGGGCAAATTATAAAATTAGCTGAAATTTAAATTCAGTATGCATGATTTCCAGACCTCACTTCATCAGATGCACTGTACATGGGTTGATGTTTATGTATTTGGAACAGAAAGGGGGGGGAGTTACAAAGAGGCCATTGAACACACTATAGAATAAAAAATGTAATCAGTTTGCTCAGTGTGGGAATGAAATCCGACCTTGCCTTAGTGAACTCTGCTTATCAATATATCTGATCCTCACTGGGATCTGTAGATACTTAAATCTGGAAAGTCATTGCTACAAACCTGAAAAAGCCTCCAAAATGATAGAAGCAGCCCTTGGAGCGCTAAGAAATAAATACCCTCAGTGGCTGTTGCTGAGCAACCAAAGCAGTGTTGCCAGCCCAAGCCTTTTCAGGGGGAGAGAGGCAGGGACCCTTCCAGGGCTGTTTGGGCCTTTTAGGAAGGACGTATCAGGAGCAGGTCTGGCAGCAACGATGGGTGATTTGCTACCATGCAACTTACATGAATCACCCAGGCTCAGCTGCTTTCTGCTGCCCCACAAAAGCTACTATGGTTTAGTGGTTAGAGTTTCAGACTAGTATCTGGGAGACCAAGTTTTGAATCCCTGCTGTTCTGTGGAAGTTCACCTGGATGACCTTGGGCCGATCACACATTTTCATCCTGACCTACTGCACAGAGGTGTTGCGAGAATAAAATGGAAGAGAGGATTATGATGTCAGCTGTTGGGTTCCCACTAGGGATGGGCATGAACTGGCTCATGGACTTTGGCTGGTTTGTCACTTGTGAAGTTTGTGGCAGGTCAGTTGACACAAACTTCCCATGAACTTTCAAGCTGTTTGTGGCAGTTCATAAATGGATACAGTTCCATACGATATGCACTGAATCTAAATGTTTATAAAACTTCAAAGGAACGGGAGGGAGAACTTGGAGGACATGCAAAGGAACATCCTCTGTAGCGTGCATGGGATCCATTCAGTACACTCCTGAACCTACGCCTATCAAAATTACCACCTTTGGTCATTTCCCTAGAAAGCACTTTCCACCTTCTTTGGGGGGCCATAACTTGGACCCCGTAAATCCAATCCTTGCCAAGCTTGGGGGCAGGTAGAGGAGAGTCAGCTGGCGATCCCCTGTGAGTGTGGTGTCTCTAGCATGCTGGAGGGGGGTGTTCTACATCTTCATGAACTGAACCATTTCACTTGGCAGCTAAACATTCATGATGGTTCATCATACGCAAACCAGACATGCCACAAACCCCGAAACGAACTGCATTTTCCTGGTTCATGCCCATCTCTAGTTCCTCCTGTGGAGAAAGGCAGGGTATAAATGAAATAATAAATATAGCTGAAATTGGAGGGCAAATAAAAGGTTGGTGGGTGGGAAGGAGAAAGGGAGGAGGGAAAGAACAAATAGTGTGGGGAAGGGGATACAATGGAAAATGAGGTTCCTGCCCCCTGCAAGTTGTCCTGGGTTCTCCACCATGCAACTCAGCCCAACCCAGTGGCCAGGACTGCTCAGCAGCCATAGTTTTCCTGGGTAAAGGCTGCCAGGAGTACAGAGGGAAGGAAAGCTAAAGACAGGAGCAGATAAAGGCAGGATGGCTGGTGGGCGGGAATGAGAGACGGAATCAGAAAAGGGGGGAGATGCTATAGGGGCTTTCAAGGAATGGAAAGAAATGGAGGAAATGAGATGCCCCACAAAATTTCTTGCGGGTCTTTGCCTGTATTTTCTATAAATGGTAAAGTTAGTAAATGCAGAGTAATGTGGGAATGGAGTGGCTGATGTAAAATGGCTCTTGGCTCAACTGTGGTCTCGCAGGCGGCTCTAGGGAAGCCGTGGTGGCTGAGCCTGGTGTTCTTCCCCTTCTCCATTTGGAATATGGGACCATAGTGCTGTTTGTGAAGTAAAAAATGTGAAGTTCCGTACAAATGCTGACTCTTGTGACTAGCTGAAGTCCCATGAATGGTCACCATGGCAATGAGTGATCTAGGTAGGAAGGGTGTTTTCCTTGCCCCCTTTCTGCCACCTCCCAAAGCCAGATGTGGCTGATAACAAAGCACTGGGAAGGCATCTCTTATCGTCCTTTCTACGTTGGTTCCCAGCATTTGGGTAGATTTTAATTT